AACGATGACTCACAAGCAACAAGCATAAAACTCACACAGAAAATAATCTTACTTGAAATTCACTGACTATTCCCACCATCACGTAAGGGATCGCTGCAACAACCAGCCTACATATGCCTTATGCATTATCGTTCAGATCGCAAGATAAACACACATACACACGCGCATATGTGTGTTTGAATAATACAACGAAGGGAAGAACAGGGGAATGTAGCCTTGGCCGATATTTTTCATATATCAGTATCGGCAGTTCATAAGGCGTTGATGTCTAGCAAGATGGCAAGTTGCAGGAGACGGTTATCTTTCCTCTTGATTTATTTAGACGAGAGATAAGCACAGGGAAGGCAGACGAAGGGAGTCTGACTGAGGCGTGGCCGTGTGGAAGATGATAAGCTGTCTGTCTGTCTGTCTGTCTGTATGAGGTGTGGATTCTGTCTGTCTGTCTGAGGTGTGAATTCTGTCTGTCTGTGTGTCTGAGGTGTGAATTCTGTCTGTCTGTGTGTCTGAGGTGTGAATTCTGTCTGTCTGTGTGTCTGAGGTGTGAATTCTGTCTGTCTGTCTGAGGTGTGAATTCTGTCTGTCTGTCTGAGGTGTGAATTCTGTCTGTCTGTCTGTCTGAGGTGTGAATTCTGTCTGTCTGTCTGTCCTGTGAATTCTGTCTGTCTGTCTGTCTGAGGTGTGAATTCTGTCTGTCTGTCTGTCTGAGGTGTGAATTCAGTCTGTCTGTCTGTCTGAGGTGTGAATTCTGTCTGTCTGTGAAAGTGTGAATTCTGTTCTGTCTGTCTGAGGTGTGAATTCTGTCTGTTGTCTGTCTGAGGTGTGGATTCTGTCTGTCTGAGGTGGTGAATTCTGTCTGTCTGTGAGGTGTGAATTCTGTCTGTTCTGAATTCTGTCTGTCCTGAGGTGTGAATTCTGTCTGTCTGTCTGAGGTGTGAATTCTGTCTGTCTGTCTGTCTGAGGTGTGGATTCTGTCTGTCTGAGGTGTGAATTCTGTCTGTCTGAGGTGTGAATTCTGTCTGTCTGTGTGTCTGAGGTGTGGATTCTGTCTGTCTGAGGTGTGAATTCTGTCTGTCTGAGGTGTGAATTCTGTCTGTCTGTCTGAGGTGTGAATTCTGTCTGTCTGTCTGTCTGAGGTGTGTCTGTCTGTCTGTCTGAGGTGTGGATTCTGTCTGTCTGTCTGAGGTGTGAATTCTGTCTGTCTGTCTGAGGTGTGAATTCTGTCTGTCTGTCTGAGGTGTGAATTCTGTCTGTCTGATGTGAATCTGTGTGTCTGAGGGTGGATTCTGTCTGTCTGAGGTGTGAATTCTGTTTGTCTGTGTGTGTGTGAATTCTCTGTCTGAGGTGTGAATTCTGTCTGTCTGTGTGTCTGAGGTGTGAATTTTGTCTGTCTGTCTGTGGTGTGAAGTCTGTCTGTCTGTCTGAGGTGAGTGTCTGAGTGAATTCTGTCTGTCTGTCTGTCTGAGGTGTGAATTCTGTCTGTCTGTGTGTCTGAGGTGTGAATTCTGTCTGTCTGTCTGTCTGAGGTGTGAATTCTGTCTGTCTGTGTGTCTGAGGTGTGAATTCTGTCTGTCTGTCTGTCTGAGGTGTGAATTCTGTCTGTCTGTCTGTCTGTCTGTCTGTCTGTCTGAGGTGTGAATTCTGTTCTGTCTTCTGTCTGAGGTGTGAATTCTGTCTGTCTGTCTGTCTGAGGTGTGAATTCTGTCTGTCTGTCTGTCTGTCTGAGGTGTGAATTCTGTCTGTCTGAGGTGTGAATTCTGTCTGTCTCTGATTGTGAATTCTGTCTGTCTGTCTGTCTGAGTGTGAAATTCTGTCTGTCTGTCTGTCTGAGTGTGAATTCTGTCTGT